GGGGGGGGGGGCGGGGATCTACAGAGACTTGACTGCGCCCTTTTGGCTGTGCAAATCATGCTTTGCTCCACGTCATCCACTTTTTTTTGGGGGGGGAGGGGGGGGAAGGAAGGCGGTGGTTGGATTTCTCAGCCCTACATGCGTACTGAACGAAACCGGATGGCGCTAAGGGAGAAGGGAGGAGAAGGGAGTGACGCAATTATTGAGCATCATTGATTCTTTTCCTTTGACACATCGACACAGCCCAAACAGTTAAACAGAACTGGACTTTGGAATTTCCAACTTCTCCCTTCTTTCTGACTTCTCTTTTTTTTGGTTTTCTCCATTGTTGCTGTGTGTGGATTTTGTATGTGTGTGTGTGTGGCTGATGCGCATACTACGCACACTACTGTCGAATCTCATTCGCTCGCCGAGTAAACGCGAGTACGCGCGCGTTCACGACGTGCAGATTAAGTGGGAGGGTGTGTTGAGTGGGAAGGAGGATACAAAGGATACGGCTAAGATGGCGCTGAATGGTATGTTTGAATTTGTTGGATGTAGAAGAGTTTGGATCCCCCTCCCCCCCTCCTCCCTTCTTCCCCGCACACACACTCTCTCTCTGTATCGACTCCTCCTCCTCCCTTGGGTGGGGGTAAAGGAATGCGCCTGGACCCCCGACCGGTTTTTGTGCCTGGATTTTTTTTTATTTCCGGGCATGGGGGGGAGAAAAGAGCTGTGGCCCGCCCCCCCCTTTTTGGTTCATTTTGTATGAAACAGGGTTTGGGGCGGTTTGTCAGGCACCGCGTGTTTCAGGGATTTTTCGTTCCAAGGTTGAGCGAAAGGGGAGGGGTGTAGGGGCGGGTTTCATGCATTACCCTTCTTTGCGGAGAATTTTCCCACGATTGACGAGAAAAAGATGGATACGTTTTTTTGCTAACCAGGCTCTTTTGGGGGGAGATGTATAGTTTTCAAACAGCCCCTCGCACTACACTCGACTCAACCGCTAACGGGCTTCACGCGAACTGGATACTGCGAGGTGCCACCGTCGGATGCGGGTAACCATGCCATTGCGGGCATCGTTTCAAAGGAGTTTCTGGACTTTTCGGCGGCCCGTGGGAATGATTTGCGCCAGGTGGGGCTGACGGATGGCTGCAAGTGGTGTTTGTGTGTGAGTCGGTGGAAGGAAGCGTTTGATGCGCGGACGGGACCCGATGATAAGAAGGTGCCCAAGGTTGTGCTCAAGGCTACGAATGAGAAGGCTTTGAGGGGAGTGGCCATGGAGGATTTGAAGAAGTTTGCGGTAGATGCAGAGTAGAATGGTGGAGGTTGATGAAATTGGTATTGGGTATGCCCTATAACCTAAACTGAACATTACGGAGTTCTTATGGCTAGATTCACATCACTCCTTTTTCATCCTACTGTTATATCCAAAGACTCTTATCCTTTCTCTAATATCATACTACACATTCTCTTTCTACCTCACCGCTTCCTCTGTTGGTCCTCGGATTACCTGATGATTATATGTCTCTACAAAACCAGCCCAACACACAATCTCTATACTCCATTCCCCATACAACCTATAACCAAAAAAGCTCTCCTCTCTTAGTCCTCAACTACATACAACATATTCCAACTCGTACACAACATACCTTGTAGCCTCCCATCCTCCACCCTCTCCTCTTTCCTACACCCAATACAAAAAATCAATCACCCTTTATAATAATCTTACTCTTACACACCCATCTTCATTATTTCCTTTCGCATAACTACCTCACACGCCCCAAATACACATCAAGCAAGAAACACCTTAAAAGAGACGAGTCTGTTACAACCCAGCCCTTTTTTTTCCCTTTACAAAGACCTATTATCGTTCTCTATCCTATTCTCTAAACAGTTATTGATAGGAAAAGAACAAATACATAGATTAGATATCACTACTCCCCTGGTTTTTTTAATTAAATCAACGGATAGGATGTGAGGGTATAGTGATACGGTGTAGGTCAACGGAAAGAAGTAGTACACGTAGTGGAATATTTAGTTTTGAATAGAAGATTTGTAAGGAGTATCAAGAGATCGCTGATAGGTAAGTGATGTGAGAAAAGGGAGTTGGGTATAGTGTATTTCCCTTATCTTCCACGTGTTACAGAGTGATTCCAAGTGCGGTTTCTTTGAACAAGAACACAAGGGGGAGATGAGTATGATTATGTACCTTACCTTGTATTTTTCCATATTTTGAAGGAAGAAAACAGTAGGTGGATATGATACCGACTACTTAGTATATATTCCGATTTGGATTCGAGGAATATATGCTTATGGGGTTGGAATTGAGGCGGGGTTGTATAGGGATTGAGAAAGTGTGTATTGTTGTTACACCTACACATGCTGAGTAGACTCCGAGAAATTAGGCAAAGTGAAAAAAAGACGTGGTACTTGAGTAGCACAACCGGTCTATTATAATGTGCAGAATGTAAAGAAACAAAATACAACCTAAACGCCCTTCGCTATGTTTTACCAGCCAAAAAGCCAGCGGACGAGTTGTAAGTCTTCCCCAAGATACTACATGATACCTACATCATTCCTTATTATATTCCACATAACACCAACGCCGTATCAATAAATATCAGGATAATCTCACGAATTCACGTCTACTACCCAACAACCAAACTCTTAACTCCACCCCCAATCCAAACCAACCCCCTCGCAGCCAACAACCCAGGCCCAGCATACGCAGGTGGTCCCATCCCCTTCATCCTCTCGACCGCATTCAAGCTCCCCACTCCACCTCCAGAAACCGGCACATTCATCTTTCCCTTCTGCAAAATGGCAAACCGCAGCAGCACCTCCAGACACGTAATGCAGATACTGAGTACAATGAGCACGATGATGATCCAGGTAATCTTGGTCATTTTGCGGTCGCTAATGGAGTCCGAGAGGATTTCGCCGAGGTCGAGGAAGACTTGGCAGCGCTCGTTGAGGACCTGAATGCGGGGTTTGATTTCGAGGTATTCACGAACAGCGGTATAGAGGGGGTGCAGGGTGGGCTCTGCGTCCCAGAAGAAGCTGGGGGTGTCGAGCATGTTGGAGGCTGTTGAGATGCAAGTTAGCAAGGGGGGGGATTTAGGATTGGATAGATAGACGTACAGAGATTCACTTCAACGCGACTGGTGAAGAGCTGGCCGATCATTTTGACGACGTCTGTTCTCCGCATTCCCAGTTTGCCTGTCAGGGCTAGACGCTTCGGTACGTTTTGTGCTGCGAGCATAGTTCTGTTCATGCCTTCTTCGAACAAGCTGAGTTTCGTGCTTTGAGCAATTGCGTGGCTCATAGCCAACTTGATCATGTGGTCGCCGCTCTTCAGAGTAATCATATCGTTGTACACGCGTGGGCGTTGAATTTCCGGGTTGTATTCAAAGTGGAATTCTTCCGTCTCAAAGTCGGACTCGGTTAAGGGCCTTGTTGCGAGCGAGACGCCAGTGGCAGTGGAGGAAAAGGTCAAGTCTGCGAGGATATCCTTCTCTTGCTTCTCGGTAAAGTTCCAAAAGACCGCTACGCCGTAGGAAAAGACAAACATCTCGCCAAAACTCAGCGCATTGGGCGCAACTCTTGAGTTCTCGGCCGAGTCTCTGCGGTCGAGCGTTTGGTTGTAGGGGTGGTCTAGTTCATGGTCGTCACGCACGAAATAGGTTTCCTCGTTGCCAAAGTATCCCTCGTGGTGGTCACGTTGCTCGTTGCGCTCAATTTCCTCGTCGAGTACCGTCTTTCCGCCCGGACTCTTCAGCGCTGGGCTGCTGCGGACTCGGTAGCCGTCGCTTCCTGGCAAGAGTGGGAGATGATACACAGTGTACAGACAATCATCGTACAGCTTGGTACGCGCATGGTGTTGGTCCTTGACAAACTGAGCAGTGGCCTTCATTTTGTACGCCTGCGTAGTGCAGTAGGCTGTGACGCGCGAGAGCTTGTCCGTTCTCCTGGCTTTGGGCAATCGCTCCGCATAGCTTTTATCATTGGGGCCGCCCTTTGTTGTCCGTCTCGCAAGATCCTCGTCGGTAGGTGGGCCGTCGAACTCGTCGTCGTCAAATTCAGTCTTCTCTTCCTCTTCTTGTCCATCCGTCTCGGGTAGGAGGACTAGTTTTTCGCTGAGCTTGCTTGATCGCGTCGGCATGTGCTGAGGGATCAGGCGACCAGAGAGCCTGGGGTCGAGCGGGTGCCGACCGCTGGGGGTGCGCGTGTGAACCATAGGTCGACTGCCCGGCGGGCCTCGTCGTTGCTGGCTGGGGATGTCGGAAGCGTACTGCAGAATGTTGTCGACCGAGATGAGTCGCGCGTTGGTGCTCTGCCTCTGTACAGCGCTGGGTCGCTGTGGTGGTCGTGGTGCTCTGGGAGTGTTGTCGCGAGCATCGGTCATAAGCACCGTCGGCCCTCTCTTGCTCTTAGCAGTTGGTCCGCTCATTTTGCTGGTCGTTGCAATCCACTTGGCTAGTGGCCGTAGTTTCGAGGATCAGCTGGGAGCTACTAGTTCGCAATTCCCGCGAATATGGTAACAGAGGACGTGTACAGAACTGTTAGACGGAATCTCAATCGCGATCTGGTGAATTGCAGCTGTTGCAGCGCGAGTTGCACCGACAATGCACGTGGTGTTGACACTTGAAGCCGTCGAGCCCGGCCCGGGTTCACGTCATTGCGCCTTGGCATGCATGCACCCTAGGTATCCATCTCCACATGCTAACGGTTCGCCAAACGTTCATCGCGGGTGCATGCATATCACAAAGCCATCACGTCACTCGTGCAATTACAGACATAATTGTGTTGTTACGGATGTTGTATATCCATTGAGCTTGCTAACTGAATGCCTGGTACTAACTCCAGAACGCCATGCTCTCTACCTGGAGACTGGCTGTCCATAACCAGAAGACATCAAAAACAAGCCTCGAACCAAAGAAACAAAAGGAAGTCCTGCTATAGGTCGTGTATCGACGGAGCGAGGGGGTATCTTATCCATCGCCCACTTGACGTACATCTGCATATCCTCCCTTTCAAGCCGCCACCGCAGCCATCCATTTCATGCAGATGAAAACGCCAAAGAATGGAAGCAAAAACATTACACATTCGAAAGTAAAACCAGACGACTACTTGGCCGTCATAATCACAGGCGCTTACCTGGAACGAAGATGAAGAGGCAGCACAGGGCTACTGTGACTACCAAGAACATGAGCAGGACCGTCAGGGAGCGTCTTGCGAGCGTCTTCTTCACAAACGGTTCCCTGATCTTGTTGAAATCGAAGAAAGTGTACTCGCTGTAACCCGCAAGGGCAATGATGGGGTCGAGCATGTACTGGTGGGTGAATATCAGGTATATAGCAATGGTGAAGGGGAGAATGATCTGCAAGCATCGTTAGTCTACTCTTGTTTCCAGGTAAAGATCGTCATTACATACCCAGCACCGTGTAGCTCTTGACTTGTCCAGAAAGATGAGAATGAACGAAGTCCACATGGCCGCGAAGAAGCTGATCAATCCCACAATCAGGCGCACCATCATGCTCTGAGGCACAAGGTTGCCAAGGCCCTTGTTCTGCAGGAACCCAGGATATGCATCGCGCTCCATCGCTTGGAAGACATAGTCTTTAGCCTGGTCAAAGAGCTCGGGATCTGCACGCTGCTCCGGTCCTTCGATCGCTTCTTGGACATCGGACAAAATGCTCTGGGGAATGATAATCTCTCGTTCTGAGCCTGGAAGCAGATATGTGTAGAGAATCTTTTCTGCCGATGCACGTAGGTCCTCTCTCCCTGGCTGCGTGTTGTCGAAAGATGAGTTGTGGCCAGGCGAGCTCGAATCACCGGGTGTCTCGGACATATGCGCACTCGGTCTTTGAAAGTCGCCAGTCTGGTTGCTGCCTTGGCTGTGCTGCGGCGAATGGTTGGGACTTCCACGTTCGGAGCGAAGGAAGGCGGACAATCGCTGGTCGGACATGTTGTCGCCTTTTTCATTGGATGGTCCTTCTCCACCATTGTCCATGGCAAAATTCGAATACCTGTGGTTGTCCAGATCGGGTGTTCCCTCAATCATACTGCGATGTAATCTACGGACATAAAGGCGGCATAGCTGCAAGTGCTGTGAGACATCGAGCCTGGTGGTTTGTTAGCTTATCGCAACTCCCCTGGGTGCGATCATCGTACCAGAAGTCTAGGTAGTCGACCGATCGCTGCTGGTCTCGCATGTAGATGTAAAAGGAGAAGAGATCTAGAGGTGCGACCGTCTTGCGGCTCAACACCTCAAAGAGCGTCGGGAAGCGGTTGCGGACGGGACCGTAGTCCATAGAGACCTTGTCATCAGGGTGCGACATGGCTGCGGATAGGTGGATGGGGTGGTAGCGAGAGGCGCGCGACAGGTGTCGCTGGTGGACGAAGAATGAAGACTATCGATAGACACAGGGTCTGGTGAAGGGCACAGAGCCCGCAATGCGTTTGCTTGTTTGCGGCTCTTGGTTGACTAGCGATGCGCAGGCTGCATGAACGACGGGAGATGTGCGGATGGTCGGGTAGAAGGGGAGTTGGTGGTAGGTGGCACCTCGAGACAGGCGACAGCAGCTGGTCGACGGGAGGGGTCGCCCTTGGGAGAGGTGCTGGCGTAGTGGTTGCGCGTGTCGACACGTCGTTGAACCTAGCGTGAAGAATGGGAGATTAGGAGTGAGGTTGGGGCCCCAGCTTGGCACAACGGTTGGTGGAGCGAGCGGCAGTGGCTTGCTTGCGGTGCGGCGTCGATTCACGCCGTGTATGATGGTGAGGGTCGCAGTAGCTGAAGCCTCGTGTCACGTCATTTGCGACTTGATGCTGTGTAGTACATAAGGTCTGCGTCTTTCATTGATCTTTGTGCATCCATTGTGGGAGTTGGCATTGCTGCCAAAGGCCTGAAACACGATGGCTCCACGCAGGTACCACGCCTCACGTGACTTCCCATGCCCATGCTGACGACCGTGGTACCCGGCGAGCTCGGATGACAACGGTTGTCAGGAGGGCGACAAGCCGTATAATACGTAGTAGTGAGCAGACGTCAGCGGTGAGTATTCCTTGGCGATCAATGCCGTTTCTTTTGCTGGTTGCTATTTATACGCTAGCTAGGGGCACCATGGGGGACGTCCAAGCAGGCGCCGCTGAAAGCCCTCGATTTCCGCTGTGTGCTGTTCGGAAAAGCCTCAAGAGTCATGTCTAGACCTTCGCCAGGCACGGTGATAGGCCACCACTTGCGTTGTTCAACGCCACTAGGGCCCTGGGGCTGAAGCAGGCAGCAGTCTTTACACACTTCTTTCTGTGTATCTACAGCCTTGTTGGGCCTATACATATAAGATGAGCAGCCTAATGCGGCTGCGGCCTTTGCTTTTGTGTCGCACTCCTTTTCGAAGCAGTCACAGGCATCTAGCAACCATGGCTACCACTAGCAAACTGCCTTCACCCCCACCCCCATCTTCTACACTACCTCCGGGTTTCCTCGAGGGCCCAGCACCCAATCTTACAAAGTCCAAAATCAACTTCAAAGAAGCCGGAATACCGGAATGTGAAAAGTCCTGGGCCGTCGTCCTAGACGGCGTCTTAACCGAAGAAGAATGCGAAACCTTGATCAAAGGAGCCGAGGCAACAACCGACGGTAAATGGGAGCGAGCAATGGTGAATGTGGGTGGTGGCATGCAGGCCATGTATGAGGATACAAGGAAGTGCGGCCGCATCATCTGGGACAACAAGGAGCTTATGGACAAACTCTGGGCGAGAATAGCACCATCTGTACCGGAAATCCACACTTTACAAAACTGGGTAGAAGTCACGGGAAATGGTCCTGTGCGGCGGGGAGAGACTTGGGTACTGACTAGGCTGAACGAACGGGCAAGGTTTCTCAAGTACGTTGGTGGCGAATACTTCAAACGTGAGTCTTGAATCAGGTAGACGTAATACACCTACTGACTAGAGCAGCTCATTGTGATGGCTCATACGAGACGCCTGATGGTACTGAGCGCTCATACTTCACCCTGCATTTATACCTCAACGATGCTGTCGGCAAAGATGGCGAAGCACAGCTGGAAGGCGGTGCCACAACTTTCTTCAGTGGAAACATGCGGAAGCGTGTAGACGTTGTACCAAAAGTCGGTCGGGTCCTGTTGTTCCAGCACCGTCTTATGATCCATAGTGGTGACGATGTGGTGCGTGGGCAAAAATTCACGCTACGAACAGATATTATGTATAGAGTGACAGACAGTTCGACAGAGCGAAAAAGATAGACCATATCACCTGAGGGTAGGGGAACATGGCGCAGAACGTTATTTTGTCCTAGCATATTATGAAACTTTTCATTAGCAGTATCCTTGAACTACATGATGCGTTGGAAGAATCAGACTTACATAGAAAAAAAATAAGAGTGAACGGCCTGCCTCGCCAGAGTAATCAGAATCGAATGATACTGTGCCCTTTTTCACCCAAAGGGCTACTCAAGGTCAAGTACGCTGCGTATTGTACTACAGTGTCGCCTCTTCCCTACCGGGTCAAGACACACAATCTTCGCACCGACTCCCATAGGGACACCAGTTCCACGCGCTCTCCTGCCGAAGCAAGAAAAAAAGACGCGCTTTCTGGGCCCTGAGCTTTCTGATGCCGAGTGCAGACGTGAGTCACGCCAGGCTCTTACGAGCAGTACAGCTCCCCTTCTTTCGAAGGGGGGCATGATAAAAAGTGAAGATTACTCCGAATTTCTCATTTGCACGTTGGGACAACTCGGTAAAGAGCGTCTGAATGTATGCAAAGAAACGCAGCTTTGGCAAGGCAGGCCGTTGCAGAACAGAGAAATAATTTTGGCGGGGTTTTGTAGCTCGCTGAAGACGCGCTAGCGTCGTCTAAAATCCACCAACGCCAGTGCACGTGATACTTCCCCACTTTTGCTTCTCAAGTCAATCTGCATATGAATGACGCTTGATGAGTATGAGAAGGCACAGTCTCTCTTCACCCAGTTCTGCTTTGAATGAATTCAAATTTTCAAGGTCTTCCGCCGCAACGAATTGCGCAATTACTTCATATGACCAATAGCTTGTTATTGGCAGCTGCTTCATTCTCACTCAATGTCACAACACCTCAGGACAAACAAAGACTCTCCCAACTTTTCGTGAATTTCTTATTATAACTCATATCGCGTACGTCGACGCAGTTGCTACTATAACTCGCCGCTCGTAATGCAGACGTTTCAAACATCTCCCCATCTCGCATCCTCCCCAATCTGGTTCTCCAGCTAACAAGAAAACAAAAAGCCCCAATGCGCGATTTGAGCGGGCTACTGAATGTTGTGATCGTTCTAGTGATGAAAGTGCAGAAACCAATAAAGAATCAAAGCGCAAACACCTCTTTAGAGTGTATATCAGGAATGCAAAGCAAGTCCCACACACGCAAACGCCTTGCATATATATTTTTTTGCAGTGGAATGAGAAAGACAAAGACAAGAGCCATGAAAATAAACGCCGATACTACCCTCAAAATTAGGGTGTGTATGCAAAAAGGTCCAATCTCGTGGCGTGGTTGATGAGCAGATTTTTGGTGCCGCTAAAGTCGCAGCTTGGGTAGTAAGGATTGTGTTGTTGTTGTACACACTTGGTTTCGCGAGAAAGCATTGTAATGAGGCGCATGCGAGGTAAACCCATCAGTCGTCGAACAGAACATGTTGAAAAGGACGTGAGCCTAGTTAAAGGAACGACCGCTTGCAGATACGACCTGCCGTACGAGACCAGCCGTGATGGGGTTGATAGGAAGTTAAGTCGAACCTTTCACCAAGAGAGCGGACAGACACCAAGGTAGCTTGCTCAACTTTAGTAAAGAGTTCGTCCAAATCATCCCAAGAAGAGAACAGATTTCGATATAAAACAGTGAAGAAATAAGAAGCCTTATATCAACAAGCCGCCTACTGCTTTGGAGATCTACGTCAAAGTCAGCATATACTACAACAAAAGAAGTCGTCTACAACTATGACCGTGGGTAACCTACGTGGGAGAGTACGCCGGACCCGGAGAAGTCGGGCTGTATCTTGGCGAGGTTGGAGAGAAGGCACCAGCAGGGCTAGTGGGCGAGTATCGGGGAGACGTCGGGCTGTACTGAGGGGATGTGGGAGATGTGGGAGAGCGACGATCGCTGCCTGCTTGGTACTGTGGACTTGTGGGACTGTACTGGGGGGAGGTCGGGCTGTACTGTGGCGACGTCGGACTGTACGCGGGTGATGTAGCACCGCCCATAAATGTGGGGGATGTTGGGCTGTAGTTTGGCGACGTTGGTGAATATTGAGGTGACGTCGGGGAGTAGCCAGCTGGAGATGTAGGCGAGTACGAAGGCGACGTAGGCGAGCCATAGCGAGGCGAAGTCGGAGAGTAGTGGGGCGACGTAGGAGACGCCATGTACCCTGGAGATGTAGCAGCAAAACGAGGACTGGCGATTCCTGGAGAAGTAGGCGAGTAGCCGGGCGAAGTAGGAGAGAAGCCTGGCGACACGGGGCTAGTGAAGCCTGGCGACATGCCAGTGAAGCCGGAGCCTGGACTTCTGCCTCCATCAAACGGACTAAGGCCACCACCATAGGTGCCTCCGTAGTCTGTAAAGCCACCTATATCACCACTGCCACCTGCGGCAGCAATGGGTGAGAAGGACACCTGGTCATAAGAGCCAAGGCCAATACTGCCATCATATGTAGGTGAGTTGAGGTACGGTGTGTCTGCACCGCCAACCACGTAGTTGCCTGCAGCGGCGCCCATTGCCTTGGAGTTGTCCTCGACCATGGTGAGCAGCATAGCATTGTCCATGACAACATCAAACTCTCCGGTACCCATGGGGGCAAGTTGACCAAGCATAATGTTTTCAGAAACACCACGGCAGTCGTCAAGCTCACCGAAACCAGCAGCCTCGAGAAGAATTTCTACAGTCTCTTCGAAAGAACAACGCATCAGGGCACCAGTATCGTTTCGGTTGATACCATGACGAGTGATAGCCATGAGAAGACCGCGCTGGCACATGATGTCGACAAGCAATGCCATGTGGCGATGGTTGACATAAGAACCGTCAAAGGACAAGACCATACCCAACTCCTTGAGAAGACCAGCTCGGGCTGCTTCAATACCAAGTACTCCAAGGATTTCAATGAAGGAATTGGAGTATGTCTTAGTTGCGTCCACACCCTCAATGGCCAGCACTTCAGCCAAGGAAGTACCGGTAGTGTCAAGAACCCATTCCTTGCACAGATCGTTGTTCTTTGAGTGCATAAGAGACCTGTCTTCCTTTTCGACAGTGACAGTGTGCTCTCGAATGAAAGCACGCTCAACACCACGAACACCACGAAGGGTGACGTCGTCAAGAAGATGCTTCTCAAGCTTGCGCATCCATCGCTCGTCTCGCTCATCCTCATCTTCGTCGTCCTTCTGAAGATTCTGATCCCAGATGAAACGGACACGCATGACCTGCTCATCCGCATTCTCGTCACTAAAGATGACTGCAAGATTGGGCTTGAACTCTTCCTTGATCTTGCCGGCAACTTCACCAATGGTGATACTCTTATCCAAGAGCTTCTTGCGATCGAGAATGATACGGAGCAACCATTTGGACTGCGACTCGATGACCTCGTCCTCGTCAGGTAAGATGAAGTAGGACTCAACCATGTCCTGATCGTCTTCGACAAGCGTAGATGTAATGTCAGGATCATAGTAAAGCTCAACGGCTTGCGTCAGTGATCGGAGGGTTGTAAGTTCAATAGTGCTTCGCAGTAGCTTCGCCTGCTGTTGACTTGCCTTGGAGTCTGCTTGACGGACAAGCATAGAAGGCGTTTTGATGTTTGCAGCAATGTTCAGAATTTCCTTAAGACGTGGCACACCGAGCGTAACGTTCTTGGAAGACACACCAGCGAAATGGAAAGTGTTGAGCGTCATCTGCGTGGCGGGTTCACCAATGGATTGGGCTGCAAGGACACCGACCATCTCACCAGGTGCAACAGCAGCCTTGAGGAAACGATCCTCCAACTCTCCCAGCACGTAGCTCAGTGCCTCCTTGTTGAGACGATGTTCAACCGCAAGCTTCTTGAAAGCGAGACGTGCCCGCAAGTGAGCCTTGAAAAGGTAGGTGGCACTGTCCTGAGCCTCTCTGGAAAGTTCGTCGGTACCACGAATGACAACTAGGCGATCAAGAGTCTCGCGGACCTGCTTGATGGTCTCGATGGGATGAAGGTTGCTCGCAGCCTTTTCTGGGTTGATGCCGAACCTCGCTTGAGCAGAGCGAATCATGCGTGCAATGTTAAGCGGAAGCTGGAAACTCTCAAGATCATCCTCGCTGGCGTTTGCACGAAGATATTCACGGTCGTTCTTGATAGCCTCGAACTCTTCGTCAAGCGCTCGTTGCACGTCGACGTCACCTTGGAACAAGGGAGAACTCTCGAGCTTCCACACAGGAATCTCTGGCTGGTCAGTGGTCAGGACGTCGAGCTTGTATGCAGCCTCAAAGGCAGGTTCCGAGGACATGATGATATCCATCGACTGCTTCTCGATATGAGCACCGTCAAGACCATCTTCACCGTAGATGAACTCAACAATGTCTCCCATCGAGTTACGGACAGTTCCATCGTACTTGACCATGACGTCTTCGAGCGCCTTGACCAAACGACGTTGAATGTAACCCGTCTCGGCTGTCTTGACTGCCGTATCGATCAAACCTTCACGACCAGCCATGGCGTGAAAGAAGAACTCAGAAGGCGTGAGACCACGAAGGTAAGAGTTCTCGACGAAACCACGAGACTCGGGTGAGTAGTCGTCTTTTGAGAAATGTGGCAACGTTCTGTACTTGAAACCATACGGAATACGCTGACCCTCCACGGCTTGCTGACCGACGAGGGCAACCATTTGTGAGATGTTGACCGTAGAACCCTTTGAACCAGAGACGACAGTCTGGACGACGTTGTTGAAATCCTTCAAACTGTTTTGGGCGGCAGTACCACCACCTTCACGACCTTCGTTGAGGAACTTCTGAACCTTGGACTCGAAAGTACCACGGATAGTCATACCAGGCAAAGGCTCAAGCTGATCCTTTGTTGCCGTCGCAATGATGTCCTCAACCTTGACCTTGGACTTTGAAATCTCGGACGCAATCTTTTCAGAAGTGCCGGGATCCGGAATGGTGTCACCCACACCGAAACTGAAGCCGTAGTGTAGAAGCCACCAATTGCAGATTCGCTGACAGGAGTTGAAGAATTTGACAGCTGCGTCAGAACCGAGCT